ATCTGAGAATAGAGAAGTTAAACCGTATATTCAAGATCACACAGCTAAAAGTGGTGGAGCTGGGATTCAGACCCTTATCTTCAGATTCCAATTAGTCAACTATTTCTTGATGATTCAACACCAGGGAGGTGGGGGAGGAGAAACAGGTGGGTCTTTTTTAGCCCCTGTGATGGCGATTTCCGAGGGTAGTGCTGCTGATATTACCTGGATCTATGGGCTGACAATCCCATCACACACCAGCCTGGCTGACAAACACAATCCCAAGGTGCATCTCCTCACAAGATTTTCCTTCAGGAGCTGAGAGAACTAAACACTTCATCGCCTGCCCTTCCAGCCTGGAGCACCCACCTGACAAAACGCTAGCCACAGAGGTTGGTTGGGGAGGATGGAGAGAGGTCCTGGGAAAACTTCACTTGATAGAAAGGGCAGACTCCGCCGATGAAGGAACTCAATTGGTCTCGCTTCACCTGCTCTGAACGTAGTTGGTGCAGCCAGAGCCATAGCATCTTCCTTGTGGTTATCAGGTGACAACCGATCGGCTCCAGATGGCAATACACAAGCAGGTGGCTGGGATGTGATGGCGCCAGAGGGCCTGGGGAACGCTGGGTGTCTCCAGCTTTTGGTTAGGCCATAAAGTAAACCCATTTGTCTAAGCTGGTGTCTGCTTCGGGTTTCATTACTTGACAGCCAAAGCATTCCTACCTGATAACACAGGGCTGAGAAGGAATCCTATCTCCCTTAGGAAGAGCTGTAAGGAGGCCAGGCACTGTACGTAAGCGCCGTACGTAAGCAACGTGGTGACTCTACCAACTGCCCCCACTCTCCCCACCACGGGCCAGAGGCCTCGCGATGCCCTGCTGAGGAGCGCGGCCTCCTCCTCAGGCTGGCTTAGCTGCACAGGAGGCAGGTCGACTGGCTCCTCAAAAGACTGCTTAGTTCCCATAAACCCAACTTAGAGTTTTGTTTCCTTTTTTCCTTTTTTAAAATTTTAGTTATGTTATTTTTTGTTTTAGGGTCAAAATTCCATTTGCATCATGAAATAAAGTGGGCAGTTCCTCTCCCTCTCTGCTGTGGATTATTTAACAAGAGAGGCATCTGTGCAAGGGCTTTCCACTGACAACTATTTTCTTAATAGCATAACATACATGTCTTTTTCACTCTCATGCTCCAATTTTTCACAGTGTAATTGGAAGAGCCACATGACTCAATGAACCAATATTCTCCAATGACCAACGAAGTTACGAAATCGTGCACGGCTGGAAAGATCTATTGCGAGTACTAGATAGACCAGTGGGTTCTAAGTAACGAGGTGCAGCAGGTCCCCGAGCGCGCCTTTTGTCCCAGCACGGGTGCAACGCCACAGGCTGTGCGCTTGGTGAGCTACCTGTGGTCACACTGGCTTCATGCCCCATTTTGCTTAAAGTCTCAGAACTTAGGATGACTTGAAGTGAGAACTTGCTGACAAAAGCTCACATTGCAACGGGCCATTAAGAGCTGCACTTCCCGAGCTCGGTGCTCTAGCACAGAGCAGGCCTCACCATCTGCGAAGGCGGCTCCTCGCCCCAAGCACCGGCCCAGGGCAGCACACGTGGGACAGCGCACAGACAGGACAGCCCACCCCATAGGGCAGTGATGGCGAACCTATGACACGCGTGTCAGAGGTGACACGCGAACTCATTTTTTTGGTTGATTTTTCTTTGTTAAATGGCATTTAAATATATAAAATAAATATCAAAAATAAAATCTTTGTCTTACTATGGTTGCAAATATCAAAAAATTTCTCTATGTGACACGGCACCAGAGTTAAGTTAGGGTTTTTCAAAATGCTGACACGCCAAGCTCAAAAGGTTCGCCATCACTGCCCTAAGGAGACGTTAAAGATCTCTGCAAAATGGGAAACAAGGCCACTCCTTCCGTTTTGTATTGGGAACATAATTACTTTTCATAAAAATATGTTCTGTATATCAACAGGTAATTTTGTTCTTTTAAATGAATATTTTTCAAATTTCTGTTATAAAGTCTCCATTTGAATAATTATCGATACACTGAAACCACATAAACAAAAATTCTCCAAAAGACTCATCTTTTTAAAGAAGGTAAGATGGGACCTGGGAACAAAAGGTTGAGCACTGCCGCGTGGAGAGCGCAAGGGTCCAAGCACCTTGCCTGGGAGCAGCCCTGACTCCATCTCCGTCTCTCCATGACCGACAAGGGGAGGAGGAAGTGGCCAGGAGCCAGCCCTGACTCGTCTCAGTCTCTCCGTGGCCGCAGGTGGTGCTGGGGCTGCACCTGTGGCAGAGCCTGTGCAGCAGGGAGAGGCGTGGTCACAGAGGCGTGAACCTCAATAAGCTAAACAGACCAACATTTCCTCTTTCATCTCCTTCAAGCCTGACAGCGATCAAAACAATGTATGAGAAGCCTCATGCAACTGCAGGGATATCCATGAGGCTCAGGGGCTACTCTGTAGAAACCAAACTTAGCATCTCAGTCCTGAGAGCATGGGCTGGCGCGCCACAGTCCTCGGGCCAAATCTAGCCTACTGCCTACTTTTATAAATAAAGTTTTATTGGAACTCAGAGACACTCATTTTTGTTGGCTAATTGTCTGTTGCTTTCACACCATAGCACCAGAGCTGAGTGATTGCAACAAAGACCACACGACCTGCCAAATCTGAAATGCACCATCTGGCCCCTTACAGAACGCGCTTGCCGACCCCGGTCCTAAAGTCATTTTACATCTCGGGTAAGAGGCTTTTAAGTACCTGATCTGGATCTGAGTCCCTTCCCTGCCACTTGGTGCTGGGACTTGGCCTCCTTCTCCCTGTTGCAAAATGGGGCTAGTGCCTGCCTCCCCGGTGGCTGTAAGGGTCCTGGGCCCAGAGCACAATTAATTCAGCAAGGGCTGAAATGCAGCACAACGGGTCACAGCCCACCTGAAACTCAGATCCAAAAATCCTCAAGGACAAAATGCAAGCATAAAAAAATCCCCTTGGGAGCCCCTTAGGATGGTGGCCCATTACAGGCATAAGGTCCCGGCCCACTGGTCCCTCCAGCAGCTGAATGTCAGATGGAGCGCTGTCCCCACACAGGCCCTGGGGAAGGCGTCCGCCTGAGGAACAGCTCCAAGCCTCAAGCTCAAGACTTACAAGCGATGTGAACAGGGACCAAGACAGAACATGGATATTCCTCCTTCCTCCCAGAAAAATACCTTAATTTGAATTTCTGTAAATTAATGAACATCTTTCTAAAGGAACAAATCAATAGCTACCTCATAGAGTTGCCATGACAACACAATAATTGTCGTGTGGGTGGACGAGAGCGATAGTTTTGTTTGAAACTCCACTGTGAATTCCCACGTGATGCCCGATGTGCGCAGGGAACGATGAGGACCTGGCCTCATACAATTATGCTTCTAACACTGTTGGGTGAGGGTATTATTT